AATTATACTTATTATTATTATTATTATTATTATTATTATTATTATTATTATTATTATTATTATTATTATTATAATGCTATCGATTGTTTAATTAAGCCGACATAATTTATTATCAATTTATATACTTATTTTATATATTAATATATTTTTATATATTATAAATATCATAAACGCAAGATATAAGAAAAATATATTTAATATCTTCGAGAAGCACGTTTATATTATTTATATATATATATATATATATATATATATGTATATATATATATTCATATATCATGCGTATAATAAAAGGAAGATAAAAAGAAAATATATCGATATGTTCGTGGAGCTCGTTTATCGAGCGCAGTTTCGATGTCGACCAACTGGAAAAGGAGTAAGGGAAGAAGGGTGAAGAGGGGAAAGGGAGATGCCAAGGGACGTTGGCATTTGGTTTAAATGATTTCATCGAACCCATAAGAGGTCCAGCAGCAGCATCCAATGTTGGTTCGTTCAATGTGCATTGAACGCCATAATCGAGTGTTATCGCCAGAAGGGCGCCGTATAACTTATTGCCGTCTTGCTGGTGACTTTTCTTTCGTCCAGTTCATTCGTTCAGTTCATTCGAATGGCATGTAAGATAAAGAGAGAAAGAGAAAGACAGAGGGAGAGGGAGAAAAGAAAAAGATAGAAAGAAAGAGAGATAGATAGATAGATAGATAGATAGATAAAGTCGGATACTGTGCGGACCATTTCTCTGTAATCATTATTAAATACCTATTATTAAGAATTTTCATTGTCACTTTTTAATAAGGATATTAATTAAATCGTCGATGATTAATATTAAACGTTAAAATAAAAATAAAAAAAAAATTTTTCGATAGTCCTTAAAGAAATCGACTATCGATCGATTAACAAAGTAATTTTTTATCGTTTTTCGAAAATTGAAAAAAATATTAAAAATTGAAAGAACAGAAAATCTACTGATCCATCATCCTATCCTATTCATCCTTAGATAGAACCAGTTCTATAAGGGAAACGTTTATATATCTTCGAAGAATTTGAAAATAAATTTGAAAAAGTTCGATTAAAAAAAAAAAATTCTAATGTTTGATAGGAACAATTAAGAGATTGAAGAAGTGTGATGGGGGCGAGGTGAGATGAGTGAGTGATTGTGAATAGGGTAACGAAAATGTAAGCGAGAGTTGGAATTAAATTGGTTTAAACCGTTCAATTCGAATATTAACTGAATATGATTCCAAGGATGGGAGGATGGTGGGTGATCGATAGGAAGGTGGGAGGTTGATAGGAGGGTGGGAGGATGGAAATAGCAAATTAATTATCCATCTGGACTGCTGTTGGTTCATGGTTAGATGCAATCACGATCGACGATGATTCAATTGGTTCGTCGTTTCTATCAGCAGAAATAACTACAGCAACACAACTGCATATAAATCTCTCTCTCTCTCTCTCTCTCCCTCTTTATTTTTTTTTCTTTTTCTTTTTCGTAAAATCGTATAAAAAGTTTCATCTTTAACGCGAGAAAGGAAGACGACTGACGAATAATGTCTACCACCTACAATCTACGTTATATTTCGAGGAGAAAAGAGAATCGGAGTGCTAAAAGAGAAAAAGAAAGAAAGAGAGAAAGAGAAAGAGAGAAGAATCAGCAGACGTGGTTGAGAAGACGAAGAAGAAAGAAAAGAAAAGAAAAGAAAAGAAAAAAAAAGTAAAGAAAAAAGATGGGTCGTTGCTGCTACTGGCTGCTGTTGCTGCTGCCAACGTCGTCGTCGTTGTCGTCGTCGTCGTCGTCGTCGTTGTTGCTGCCGGTCTGGCGCCGTTCGTCCAGAGAAGTTCACGCCATGTTTCCTTTTTCTTGTTGCTCTTATCTCCTTTTTCTCTCGTTTCTTTCTCTTTCCTTATATTCTCTTTCCTTTTTTCGTACCGTGATTACATCGGACATAAGACACCATTCTTACACGCTAAGACGATGTATTTCGATTTCCTTTTTATTTTCATTCCATTTTCTGTCTTTTTTTTTTTTTTTTTTTTTTTTTTTTATAAGTATTATTACAGTGATGTGTAATAATAATAATGATAATAACAATAATAAGATAAGAATAATAAAGAAAATGTAACCATAAAATAATGTTGCAATAATAGTATTATAATAGAACGGACAATCGATCATAAATTTGATACAATGACGAAATGAATTAATAAATGAACTAAATACCATTTACGTATTTAATAGACATTGTTATTAACAAAGACATTTAATGTTGAAAAAAAAACGAAGTGTAAAGATAAGAGTACATATATACATATATATATATATATATATATATATATATATATATATCAATACATTGCAAAAATCTAAAGACATGACAATTACATTGAAATATGTAGGAGAATAAAAAGAATATATAAAAGAATATATAAACAACAATAATAACAATAAAAATTATTTCTATTTCGTGTTCTATTCGTATATAATAAAAATCTATTTATACGATATAAATATAAAATATGTTTATATATAAATATTTGTTTGATTTTAATCAACGTAACAAGAAATAATTCACGAAGAAATTGGCGAATAATATTTAATAGTAGTTGTACGTGGCTCCAATTTTGTACATAAAAGATACGATGACAAATCCTCTCTCTCTCTCTCTCTCTCTCTCTCTCTCTCTCTCTTTTTCTCTTTCTCTGGGAACTAATTACAGGTCTGTCTTTGTTGTAGCACGGTTCAAGACTTCGTTAGAATATAATTTGCATATAACAGATCCCACGTGGTAGGGTGGGGGTTAGTGCTGGTGGTGGTTGGTGTATGACAGAGGGGTTGAGGGAAAGATGTGAGACCAACGAAGGAAAGGCAACTTACATTCACGCATAGCGTTTAATTAAATCTAATCGGCTACCCCTTGACACTACGTCCAATTTCTTAAACGTAACATTCTCGACACGTTAACTTCCATGTTCTCTCTCTCTCTCTCTCTCTCTTTCTCTCTCATCATATATATATAATTAATACTATTATACATATAATTAATACCATTTTATATATATATATATATATATACAATTTTTAACGAACGATTAATTAAAATAAAGAAAAAAAAAAAAGAAAGAAAAGATATCTCTACGGTCGGTAGAATAATTAATAATGAATAAAAATGGATAATAAATTAATACGATTATATAGAGCGTGATATTAATTATGTCGCCGTAACTTTTGGGATTTTTTATTCAATTAAATTATAGTAATCAATCGTTAAAGATATTTTTTTAATTTACTTCGTATATATACCATGATAGAATATTAATTCTTTTAATATTTTAATCGTGAATTTTATCGTTAGATTTTCTTTTTTCCTTTTTTCCCTTTCATGTGAATAATAAAATCGCAAGAAAGTTTTATATAAATGAAAATCTATCGCGACATAATTCGAATGTAATACTTGAATTAATTTATAATTTAATTAATTAATTAACGATTACATCGATTTCACGATAATCAATAAATATCTTCTTCTTCTTCTGAAATAGAAGAAGAAGATGAAGATGACAAATCATTAATTATAGACATTGACGGTCGATTAAAAGGGAAAAGAATAGAAAAGAAAAAAAACTTTGATCTAATTAATTTAATTGAATATTTGAATCGTATAATTCACGTTTCTACGATCAACTAACTATCCTATCAACTAACTGTCATTATTGCGTATAGAGAAAGTTAGTTTAAACGTATGTTAATTATTCATACCTAAACATACTCGTGAAAGTTTCTAGTATGATCATTCGAACTCTAGTTTACTTGTATATATACACATCTATGTGTATGTGTTAACTGATGTTTCTGATAGTTCGAATATACTTTAGATACAATGATTAAAACGATCTATGTATTTTTAAAAGTCGTAATTAAATCTATTAATATCTGAAGAATCTTTAAATCCATTAAAGATAAATTATTAGACAAATAAATTATTCAAATCTATTACTGTCCTCTTAATTGACATATATATTCTCGTTAAACGTTAATTGATTTAAACTAATTAACCTCCGTGCAATAATATACGTGGTATGTTAAAAGAAAAAAAAAAAAAAAAAAAAACAGGAAGAAATAAAACGAAATGAAAGAGATATATACGAAGGCGTGATGATGCTATAAATTACGTGACAAACAGACTGAGAGAGAGAGAGAGAGAGAGAGAGAGAGAGAGAGAGAGAGAGATGCTTTTTTAATTCGTTTAATTTCACTGAGACACGCTCGCAAAAGGAGAGTTTTCGAGAGTTTTATATATCGTCTTTACTGTCAGAGACTATTCGAATCAATTGCGTAGGTCAAGTGGTATCGTTTGCAAAGTATTATTACGTCTAACGTCGTTCATATTTATAGTTCTTTAAAAAACAATGAATGTTTAATCGATATGTTCGTTGACTATATATATATATATATAAAGATTTTGTATTTCATTATCTAATCTTATATAAGAAATATATATATATATATGATTCTTATAGGTATATAAGAAAATAAAATAAAATGAAAAACGAAAAGAAAATATATATATATATATATATTTTAATATAATTGATATATCGTCAACGATTATATATACCTTTATTCTCATATATTTTTAATTCACATATTTTTCATTTTACTTTGTTCTCTTTAAATGATTTCTCATATGAAAAAGCTTGACGAAAAACTTTTACGAAGCAACAGAATTAATGTGGAAAATGTGATGAGAATGAGTGATCGAAAAATAAAATAAAAAAAAAAAAAGAAAAAAGAAAAAAAGAAAAAGAATAATAAAAAAACAAGAAAAGGAATAAAAAGAAAATATAAGAAAAATATAGAAAGGCGAGAAGCAATCGCGAATGTTTGTAATAAACACATACGGGAGGTCACGTCAATTAATGTATAAAGACATTTACATATATACGGGATGTACGTGTACAAGGACGATAATGTTTATAAACGATTATAAGAGAAGAAGGTTTATTACTCTCGAGTCAGTACTACGTAGACAATCGAACGATACAGACCTAGACGACATACATAGTAATTATTTATTCACGACGACGAAGAACACGAAGAAGAAGATGACGACAATGACGACGTAGTTAAAGGAATCATCATCGTAAAGAAAGCTTTCGTTATATTTGTTAAAAAACATAGATAT